AGAATGGACCCTTCTCGGATTTTGGTGGAGTTAGGTAATACACCCCAAGTACACCGTAGCCCAAACCCCACCTGCCAAGTCATACGCTGAAAAACGCGCTTCAAAACTTCACCAACTCCGCCCACTTCCATTAAGTAGGCGTCATGGGTGGAAGAAGCGAATTCAGGTCTTAGAGTATGAATTGGCAGGTGGCGTTTGGGCTACGGTGTACTCGGTCTACTACCCCATTCCACCAAAGTCCGAGAAGAATCCATTCTGCCTGTCCACTGCCTTTAGACGTCGAAAAAATTCTACAAAACTCTACCAATGATACTCTCACAGCATTACAGGTAAGCATTTCCAATGAGTAAAGTCACAGCGCGTTGAGCTCTACGAAAATCCATCTAGCTGCATTGGTCCAAAAAAAAAACGGTCTTCAAACAAGTTTACATGATTACAGTTCCAGGAAGTTGCCAAAGAGCAACAAGAAAAACGTCGCCTTATTATCCCCGTGAGACCCTTAAGAAGCCAAAACAATCCTCATTAGTGCGAAGAAGAATCTCACAGTTTCACATTAACCTAGATTCGCAATCATCTGAAAATTGCCTTGGACGCTAGGTCACGCGAACAATTTTAACGACATACTGCATAACGCGAGAAATTTTTAACAACCGTCACGTTTTTACATCTTTCACATGTCATTTCCCAGCTGCGCTCCACCTAACGAAAGAATTCTGGCCCAACGTATAAAAATTTGCTTACAATTTGCGAACATTTGAATGAAGTGACTATTGATTGACCTGACCTACACTGCATACAATTATCCATGATTTCACATAAGTAACGAGAAAATGACAAAGATTTCGCAATACAAATATATGAATTTTTTTATAAATAGATCCATGGTCAATTTCAACACACTCAGCTATTCGATAACTTTGTCGATAAGTTGTAAGAATAATCTATAGCGTTAAGTGAAACAAAATTACAAAAATATTACCTTTCCCTTTTCTTCTTTATACTGCTGCTCTTTCATAATCTCCGCATAACCACGGTTTCTCTGATCGGGCGTTTGGTCAACTGAAAAATTTATTTGAGCAAAAAGCAAAGTAGAGGATCCGGAAAGACTTACTGAATGCATCGACTCGATCTGGAGAAATGGCTCGATGTCGAGCACGTTCTGCATATTTGGATGCTTGCCTTTCTATGATTGTCTTAGTGCGAGTTTCTGCAAACGGATCGGGCTCCTAAAACGGAAAGATAAGTGATGAAACGTATCCAAAAATGTACGCACGATGCTATGCATCACTTATGATAAGGAAAGGACTTCACAATTTTAAGATAATGCAGAAACCTCCAAAAAAGGAGAATGTTTTTGGAATATAGCGAACTTACATCTCCGCCAGTGTGAGCTGCTTCATGGATAAATTTAGCAGGAGCATTGACTGATTTTTTATTCACGGGTACGATGGTGTCTTCATCAATGTCGTCCTCATCTGCAGTATTGATCGAATCAAGATATTTGCCACTTCTGTTGCCACGAACACTTCCATACACATCCTAAAACAGATCTTAAAGTATCTGTACATAAATCAAATAATGATGAAATAATAGTAATATAAATGATGGTATAATAGCGTGAATGATCAAAAATCATTAACAAATTTGGAGCAAAGTAAACACCTCATAAAGGTTGCGAAATTACTGTATTTGCCAAAATCATAGAAAAATTTGCGTAAATCGATGTAAACGAAGTGTATTTTTCAAAAAAAAAGAAAGAAATAAAACGCAAAAAATGTGTTCCCAATGAGCTCAGAAATGTTAATCATAAGGTCTAAATCGACTTACTGTATCATACTGTCCTGCTGCGCCGAATGCAATCTTGTCTGATCCATTTTCATTATTTTCAGCATCTTCTTCTGTTGCTTGAAGTATTCGCTTCCTGTTTAGCTCTTGAGCATATGCTTCAGCTTCTGCGAATGAGAAGAATGATTAGAGGAAACTAAGCAGGAAGGGAGGAGAGGTATGTCACTCACTTTCCGTGGTATGAGCACGAGACATTTTAGAACCTTGGTGATGGTGCTAAATGCCCAAGCAGATGCTGTAACAACAGAAATGACAAAGTCCTTACGATCAAAAAGAGGAGAAAACGAACACATAACGTCAAGATGATGCATTTAAGGCAAAATCTGAAGCTAGATAAAATGAGCTGTTAATAAACAACAACAGATTCCCTACACTCGAAGTTTTCGAAAACCTTCTAGCCAATAATCACAAAGGTGACTTGTCTCAGATTCAAAAGTTGCAGCAAATAAAGGATGTTTTTGAAGATAAGCTAACTAGAAGATCACAAAAGGCATCAAAATCGAGACAACAGCAGGATAAAATCAATGGAAAAGACCGCGCCGACGCATACGCCAATGACGCGTTATGCGTCAATGTGGGCTGGCGTAGGGGCGGTGTCTACCGTAATGTACGGTGGCGGATTCGAATCGGCGGATCTGCTGTGGATTATTCAAGACCACAGAAAGAGGACTGAGAAAGTTATTTCTCGTCACAACGAGTTCAAAAAAAA